CCACTAAGTTTTGGTAGACATGCAATTTCCAGCTCCTTTTCTGATGATAAGCGTTTTGAATTGGTAGCCCGGATTGATGGCTCCAAAGGTTCTACGTAATAAGCCCTCAAATGAAAAGTGAGTAGCTTAGATTCCCAGTTTTGGTCATTGCCTCTACCACAAAAGTTATGCTCTTACTTTGACATTTTCCAAGGAGAATGTAATATAAAAACATGGTGGGCTTCTTTGTTTATGCAGGTGTGATGTGTACAGCTTTGGGGAGATTCTATGGGAACTAGCAACATTGAGATTGCCATGGAGAGGAATGAACCCAATGCAAGTAGTAGGAGCAGAGGGTTAATCTCGTTTGTGAGAAGATCATGACTCGTGAGGTAGATGAAATGATGATTTGGGGCTTGGGTTCTGATGCAGGGAACGGGTTTTTGGGTGCTGTGAATGAGTTGAGAGGTTTTATTGATCGGTTAGAGGGAACAGAAGAGGAGGTTTCTTTGAGGAAAGCTCATGATGTTCTTCAGACGGTGATGGCAAGGCTTGAGGATGAGTTTAAGCATCTTCTTGTTGAGAACAGGCTGCCTTTTGAGATCGAACACGGTTCGTTTCGGTCAGATCTTTGGGGAAGTAAACAAATTTGGTTTAACATGTTTTGTCGATACAGTGAAGGCTGCTGTGATGCGGTTACTTAACTTCGGTGAAGCTGTGTCTCTTGGTCCACGGAAACCTGAGAAGTTGCTTAGGATTCTTGAAATGTATGAGTTAGTATCTGAGCTTTTACCAGAGATCGATGCACTCTTCTTGGATCAACTTGGTTCAACGGTTAGAACTGAGTACAGAGAAGTGATGAGGAGGCTTGGAGACTGTGCAAGAGCAACGTTTCTNGAGACATGAACATACACATGCATCCAAAAACATGTAATTTTAATTAGTTTGGTCTTTGGTTTGTTCTCTTTGTACACTTACATCCCCTTGTGTTTTGGAATTAAACAAGTCACATGTGAATGATTGATGGATCCACTAGATTCAAATAGCTTGATTTGGTTATTGAATAGAATATGATAAGACCAAATTAGGTAATCTTCATTACATTTGATGTGTATACATAGCTTTCTACAAGCAACACTCATGCTGGTTACAAAAATCAGAAGCCAGCAACACTCATGCTTGTTACTTATTAGTATCCTTTCTTGTAGATTTACAAAGAAGTCTACTTGAAAGAGAAAAATATAACATAAGTCTATCACATTAGACAACATCCAAAGCAACAATATAGTTTATAAGTTCAACACACACTAAAGACCTACAAATCCAATAGAAGACAACTCAAAGCAATGAGACACTAATACATAATAGAACATCCATAGCAATAAGACAACTCATAAGTTCAACACATAACACTAACACATCTAGAGTTT